GTTGTTTATTGGAAAAATTTGGGACACCTTGTATACCATTTGAACGAGCATAAAATAAGCTTCTTAAGCAGTGTTTTTCGTTCAAATTTGGCGATCATTTCTCCGAGAATTGCAATTTTCCTGCATTATTTGAACATGTGAAAAACGAAAATCGCGTGAAAGTTACATTTGAAAATTGAAAAGTGTATAAAAATGTAGATTGGCGGAAAGCTTGAACTTTTTGTGATTTTTTATTTTTATTAAAAGTTGCAGTCATCGATGTGCTTGGGAAAATACGCACTTCAACACCCTTCTCCTTATTACCCTTGGATTCTGATAAAATATCAGACACCAGAAATAAATGGCCCTTTTGCGGACCTGCAAGTGTGCAAAGTTTAAAAGAAAACGAAGGTGTATAATTTCACAGACATTTCGAGTAGAATCCTTTCTCATTCTGGGTCTTCTGTGATGATCATCAGGCTATAAATTAACCCCTGACACTCATGCCCCTATCTCACACGTGCACAACGAATCCTCAAACAAGTGCAATTCTGTTTAATTATATTCACTTTCCATATCGTGTTATCCTTTCTATTATAGCGAGAACGTAGGTTACAACAAGAAACTTATTTCTATACGGCCAGGAAATAACTTAAAAGAAACAAAGCTGATCATCTTTGGCACATCAAGTTGGGAAAAATATGAGCGTTAAAGGGTTAAACTAACAAAGTTGACCTGATTAGCGAACTTTCCCTGCAGGTGTGTAATTTATTGTCCAGCGGCAAAACAGAAGGGGTATAGTACGAGTGGAGCTTAAGTATGATCGACATTCGTGTGTTGATAAAGAAGGATGAAGAAAAAATGAAAGTAGAGCGAGATAACGACGAGTGCATTATTACCTAGTCTAATCTAACCTAACTTACTGTCAACCGAACCGAATTGAAAGCAAAAAGATCGGTACGTGGATTCCTCGTAAATTGTCCGAGAATCATGTCACCCAAAAGTGGCCAAAACTCAGCCAATAAAGCCTAAGACACTGTGTAATTAAAAAAAACGAGGTCAGGAAAAACATGACGTTTATATGAAATTTTTTGAAAGGGGTCCACGTACGTGTCACGGGACACCCTGTCACTCGTTCAAGATATAAATGCTTTCTGTGCAATATCGCGTCGGCACGTAGAGAGGAACGAGACCACGTGAGGGAGTTCACCTATCATGAAATTTGGACATGCCTGCCCTACGTGTTCATAATTCCAATCTCCATTAACCCTCGGCTAATATCTGTGTAGGCAATCAACCGTGTAACTTAGCTATCCCCAAGATGGAACGGAGATGTATTCCCCTCGTTTTAACCCTTTACGGAGGGACGGAGCATATGTGGACGCGTTCGGTGAATTTTTACCTCGCTCTTTCGGCAGGAGCAACGTATCACTTACTCGAGATATATATAGGGTGTTGATGTTATTACTAGCCAGCGTATATTTTTTTTTTTCGTAAATGGAAAGTATACGGGGAAAATGAGAGAGGGAAAAGCTTTACGGTGTTTCGTAACTCGTATAATCGCATACATATATCAACACTTTATGTTTGCAATATTTTTCGGAAAGTGAAGGTGACCTTTAACTTTTTATATTACCCAAGCTTCGTTTTCCAAAAAGTATAAAAAAGTTACATATGGTTATAGAACACCGTGAAACTTTTTCCTCTTTCGTTTTTACTGTATACTTACCATTTACGAGAAAAAACGTTGGCTAGCAATAACGCAAACACCCTATATACAGGGTGTCCCAGTTTTCTCCGATCAAACTTTGTCAGTACGTTCTGTAGGCATCTTTTTTCTTACTTATATCTGTAAAATGTACTGACGAAGTTTGATCAGAGAAAACTAGGGCACCCTGTGTATAATATGTGTGTATGTATACTTATGTATGCAACCAAAAATTACAATAGTGTCTCAGTTATCTGTTGAATAATTAATCGATATCTCGGTACAATGTGCAGTACGCGAGAAAAGCTGATAATTTTTAGCGAGTATTTATCGCTGTCAGCAGCTTACAAGAGAACTTCCGTAACCCGAACATTCCAATTTTTTTGAAACTTTGCAGGTTTGTAGGGGACCTCAGGAGTAGTATCGGGCAACTTTTTTTGGCCCTTTGTCGGTTCTTCGGGGTGAAAACAGCCCTTGAATGCAGATAAGTGTTACCCTACTTCCCTGTATATCTTTGAAGCTATAGTAGATATAAAAAAGTGTTTATAATAAAAATTTAATGGCTTTTTATCAGACTGTGCTATTAAATTAATGAAAATCCTTTTTTGAAATAAAAAATCTTCCACTACCGTTCTTGTGAAAAATTTGGAATTTTCTGTCGTATCGAAAAATATGTCAAATAAATGCAGATAAATATATTAAATATGTTAAACGTATCGAGCAATGTAATATTTAAATCATTTTAATCGATATGCGCTTTTTGTGCGGTCATCATTGGGGTTATCAGTTACCAAGTATGTGTATATGCGTAAGTATATGCGTTTTTATTAATTTAATAGCATCGTCTTTTAAGGCATAAAAGTCATTAAATTTTTATTATAAACATTTCTTCATATCTACTATAGTTTTAAAGATGTACAGGGAAGTAGGATAACAATTTTCATTCAAGGGCTGTTTTCACCCCGAAGAACCGAAAAAGGGCAAAAAAAAAACACTTCCCTTGAGATCCCCTTCAAACCTGCAAAGTTTTAGAAAAGTCGGAATTTTCGGGTTACCGAAGTTCCCTTGTTAGTCCCACAAAACGTTCGTCTTGGAATCGCTCCGTCCGCAAAGAGTTAAGTACACCCTCTAAAAGTCGAACAATTCTACGCAGTCAGCACGCGTGAGGCTGTGAAAGTGGTAATAGATTTCTTTTCGAACGCTGCTCAAAGAATGCCACTGAACGAACAATATTTGTGATTTATGTTACCAACGGAGCGATGGTGGGACTAAAGGGACTAAGGGAAAAAGGGACTAAACCAGGGCTTAGTTTGGGCGTGCCTGAGTTTAAGGGGGTATTCACTTGATTCGGATGAAAGAAACCGAACTTGCTTTACCTTTTCTGCAACCTACATATGTGGAGTCTAGAGTAAAAATTATAACGAAATTTGAAATATTAACGAAGTGACAGAGGTTCGAAGTAAAAGGAACTTTCAAGAGTATGTACCTTAGGACTACATTTTCGGAAAGGACTTCAGTAACTTAAAAAATACTTGACAATAGGCCTGAAATTTTACTCACATGAAGAAATAAAAATATAAATAGGAATGTGGAATAGAAACAAATTAAAAACCCCGACAACAACACCAAAATAAAATGTTTAACCGGTTAGCTCTATATGTTAATATGTTCGCTCTTTAAGGATTACAGTTACTTACAATTAGTGGTTCTTAGCAACCCAATGTGTCACGTCGCGTTCTTTTGCGATGTTGAAAAGGAAGCTCGCGGTCGCGACTGTTACCCGTCAAATTAATCTTGGGTAATTAGTTCAATATCTACTTTGCTCGAACGTTAGCAAAAAGTAGAGTGCGTCACGAACGATTGACGACTTTGTTTCAAAGACTCGAATTGTACTTGAACGGCTGGAGAGAGTATCTTGTTCACACGAGAGAATCTTTGCGAATGTGTTGTGTCTCCTCGAACGGTTGGAGATCTAGTGGTGTTCGCTCGATGGAACCTTTTTTGAATCTCTCCCTCGATTCCCGAATTTTTCTGGAGTCCGCCGTGACTCCTCCGCCAAGTACAAGAAGACACGCTGATTGGTTTTTCACGTACGCACAAATTACCAATCAACGTGCCCCTTGAGTGTCACCCACCCTTCCATTGCGCCCTTAGCGCGCTTTTCCTTGGAAGGAGTGGGACCCTACCTGCGGGTGCGTGGAATCTTCGCTGTCCTTCGGTGACGCGTCGGAAATTCCCGCCAGGTCAACCCTCGGCCGAGAGTGCCGTTACACGCGCGTGTGGATTTACCCTTCAGCAATACCTGGTTTATGACACGTCTTCGGTTATCGAGGACGCGGAAAAGTCGAAATTCTAAAGGCACTGTTCTGTAAGAAATCACTTATTTTTTCGCGGAGCTACGAAGCGTCTTCGTTCTCAAAAACAACCTTCTCGTGCGAGCGTGCCATAAACCCGGTGAACGAAGACCCCATGCGTCCCGTACCTACGCGACGGAACACAATGTGTTAATCACATTTGTTCCTTTCGCCACTTTCGACACACATGTTTTACGAGCATGTACACTGCCGCCTATAAGTGTTAAGAGACCTATTACGTTCGTAGAGAAAGTATTATACGATTTAAATGACACGTTTTCGACAAAGTTAGTATCATGTATCAGTAAACATATACCGGGTGTTCACGCTATTAATTTCTAACGTTTTCGCGTAAGTGGTAGATTTGTGAGAAAAATAGAAGAGGACAAAGTTTCGTTATTTTTTATACGCAATACGATGACTTAAGTTTACAAATTTTTTCACGTAATATTGTGTACGAAAAATCATGAAACTCTGTCCTTTTCTATTTCTCCCACAGATGTACCACTTACGAAAATAAATTGAATATTTTTACCGACACATGATATTCGTCCATTCATGTATGCATTTTTCAATATTCACTACGGATGAATAAGTGTATTAGCAGAAACTGTAAATTACTTCCGTGAAAAAAGTCAGAAAAATGACTTTACTCATCACCCTTGTTCAAACGGACACTTCTTTAAGCATTTGAAAGTAACGTTTAGTTTTTAACGGAGTTGCATATGAGCCGCTTAGAAGGCAAAACAATTTCGAACTTCTTCCAATTTTAATTCTTCACAGATGAAAAAAAAAATGTAACAAATTTAATTCGACGGAGTTAGTCACTTTGGCTTCTGAGTGGCTCATATGAAATTGCTAAAGAATCGCAATGAACGTTTTTGGTTGTTACTGTAAATTTTATATCTGCTTTCTGTTTAATCAATAATCGCCTTCACAAGTACGTTTGCTTTCTACAGGCTCGGTGACAGGTATTCCTGGTGTTCCGGAAAATATAACGGTGATGTTCCTGAATCCGACATCTGTCCGCGTTTCTTGGAGTACCAGTCAGGTCGAACAAGTCGAAAAATACGACGTCACGTATAAACCAACCGATGCCAGGTGCGTTCTGACGATTTCGACGTTTCGTATTTTCCTTTTCGTTTTGCATGTGCATATACATATACAGTTATTTTCTCACTTGTTGCTACAAATTACGAGAGAAACTGTGAAATTAATTGTCTTATTAACCATTTGTATTTCGCTTCGGTTTGGTTGAAATTTTCGTGCAATAAAATTCAAACTTCAGTATTTAGTCACTCTTGTAGACTTTGCACTATGTTGTTTACTGATAAATGTATAACTTTTTAACAAAATCTAGACAATATATAACAATTTATAAGTATGATAAAAATCGTAAAAAGTTGCTGCAGTTACGTAATTATTAAATGACTACTTCTAACACAATACTCTATTCTTTCAATTATATTTCTTTGTTATTACGTCGCTGAGTTTATTGAGTTACGTGATCGTATAACGTTATTACGACAAAGTTAAATGAACACGCTTAATGACTGCTCACTAAGAATATACAGGGTGAGGTAAAAACTTTGTCCACCTGGAATATTTCCGTTATTTGTAACAATATGGAAGAACGTTACACAGGGTGTTCCGTTTAACTTGAAACGATGGAATATCTTAACCCTTTGCACTCGGAGGTGATTTTGCTGTAGGTAAGGTTGCAAATCGGATCTCCCTTGAAATTTTTGAAAACTAACGTAGAAATAAACTGTACTATCTCGTTTAAATATTAAATGTGTGGCGGGTACGTCCAACAAACCCTTACCGAATTTTGTTCTATTCTTCCACGCGAACTTGCTCTTTTCCAACTCCTTCCGTTCTTTTGTCTCTCCCCGGGTTAAGACTTGCCTTCGTCCTCGAGTAGCCTAAGAAGCGCACATGTGGCATCCAGGTTCGCAGGAGGACGTTCCGTTTCTACCGCTTCCTCCACTTCTATCTTTATCTATCGCTACTCCTGTCTCCCTGTCCTAACAACGTAAAAACCCAGTACGCCTACACCTCGGGTCAGTTTTTCCTTTAACAACCATCACGACGTATCCGCCGAACCGCTGCCACCGGGACAATTGACAAATAAAACGATTGTATTTTCCGGACAAATTGTACGCCGGCCAGAACACTTGTACTTTAATAAATTGAGGTGAAAACAGTGCAACGGCGTTCCTCATCCACCTCAAATGTATTCTCTATTTCGCTATAGTGAACAAATTTATGGAGGTCCATAAATCTGCTCTCTGTCTTCGTTAATTATTTACCAAGTGACAGTTATTTAACGTCGCTTCTCAGTCGCCACTCGGTTGCAAAGGGTTAAGAGGAATTGAAGTTGTGGCAAAAAATGTTCGTACCAAAGTTGTTGGATAGATAGAGAGACGTTAGGTGGTCTAAATAAATTTACTACAAGCGTAGTAGTGTCAAGTTAATTCTTTTAACCCTAGTACAGTCTTCGGGTCTTTTTTGACCCATCGACTTCTTATCTTTTTAACACCAAAATTACCGACCGGGTCAAAATGACCCATTACCATCTTTCGAGAAAACGTGAATGTTCGGTACTGGTAAGTGTTATCATTTGTAACTTTCCGAATTTATTTTCTACAGGTATGCTTCTATTTGTATCGATATGAATCGAATTTTCCAATTATGGTTTACTTACGTAAAAATTCACTTTTGGAATGTCGGTAATGTCATTCTGACTCGGCTGGTAATTCTAGTGTTAATTACTTTTGCTGTTATCAAATTTATGTTCCCTTAATGTTACATCGAAAGATCATTACCTAAGTTCGTATGGCGTGCTGGTAACAAAAATTGTTACACCTAAGACCTTTGGGTCAGAAAAGACCCAAAGTATTAAGTGTACAGTCGAACGAAAGGACGCACTAGGGTTTAATCGAACCCTCTATTTTTTGTATTCACAACATGGCAGCGATTCTCGAGATGAATTTAACCACGTGCCACACGAAGTCATTTCGTTTTATGAAAAATCGTAAAGTAGTGAAGAATCGGGGAGTCAGGTCGACACGTGTCGCACGCTTTCGGCCAGCCAAACCCTACTTGACTGTACTGCTAATGCTAATTCTCCACGATTTTACAGCTTTCCATAAAACGAAATGACTTTATGTGGCAATTCGTTGAATTCGTTCCATTTAAAAAAAATTATAATATTTTTCCATATTATTACAAATAATGGTAATGTTCCAGGTGGACAAAGCTTTTGCCCCACCCGGTATATTTTACACAATACTAACTGTACCATGTAGATCGAAATCGTTTAAATGAAAACTGCTTTTTTATTAAAAACAAATGTGTAAGTTAACCTGAAAAATTTATTTTTGTAAATAAAAAGAATGGTGTTTGAAGAATACAAATGGTAATGCAGAACTGAGAAAGATGGGTGATTTATAGTCTGTAGAACTAATGGCCCATTCTAGTACAGTATATAAAAATCCTCACAAACGTTGTTAACTTCACGTGCAAATGTCGATGCTACTAAAATAGCAGCGAAAGATATTAAAGTAAATTTAATTAAAGTATACTATAAGTAGAAAATATTAAAGTGAGACAGAACGGTGGAAAAAAAATTTCGTCGAATTTCGCCAATCGTGTTAAACAGAAACCGAGATTTATAGGATTGTTACAGAATAAATTTTTTACAATATTCCCCAAAATTAATCACCCAGCACGACGTAATACATAGCACGATACGAAGTATATTTAAAAATTTTTTTCCTCTTCTTTTTACAAATATTAGAAAACTAATTAACAGATGGTACAACTGAATAACAACAGTTACACTAGGAACAGTTGTCCTAATTCTTTTATCACTTGATATCAGTCTGTTGGTGTTGACTTTTTAAAGAGGGCTTGATATTAATCGATACTTTCACTTCTACTGCGGCACAGGAAACACAACGACAGGTATATCGCTTTCTTAAAGTATTTCTTAAAAATTGGAAGCATTATATACTTATTTGAGTCGTTTCAGAGTAGTTGTGTAAGAAATACTTGTTCGATAAGAACCTTGTGTATGTTGGTATAAGAAAGTAACCTAACCTAACCAGTAATAATTACAACTTAATAATTTGTTACCTTACAAGCACTTAATATTCACTTCTGTTTATTTGGTCGGTATAGTTTTTAATTACTGGCAAATATTTTTCGAAATGTATAGTCGGTAAAAAAGGATATTTTGGTCGGTATAAACAATTAGTTGTCAGTGTTAAATCGCATTTGGTCGGTATTAATTTACTTTTTAGTCGATAAGTTAACTCTCTGTTTAAAATTCTGACAAATTATCGTTTTACTAATACTGTAATGAAAATGCTGAGTTTTTGTATTGATCGATATAATACTGACCATTTATATTGCGTATTGATGTTTTACTTTATTTAAAATACTGATTAAAAATTTTTCACAATACTGACCCAATAAATAGCGTATATTTGAAATAGGCACACAAGTAGGTTTTCTATAATTTTATTTCAGTTATTCTTGCTCGCTTAGTTCACAAAACAATACTGCATATTACCCAGATAGTTCGTAAAGTACATATTATTTTCAAGATAACACAATATATTATTGTTTGCAACTTGATTAGTTAGTCGGTAATTTTCTTTCGTTGTCGTTTGTGTTGTAGAAATTAATTTAGCAAATTAAAAACAATTTTGTTTGATCATTTAGTGAACTATTGTTTGATAAAATTGAACAATTACGTTAACTTCCGTTCTTTACTTCATCTATTTATCAATTTTCACATCGTACTAAATAAGCACTATCTGTCCTTAAAACCCAAGCAATATTGAGTTTTGTAGTATTTAATCTCGATGGATATATACGGGATGATAAGAAAATAGGTGACCAAACTTTGACACCGTATTCTACTACTCTTCCCAAAGATGGAAAAAGCTAATGTAAACATAGGTTCGAAAATGAGGCTGTTGAATAGCTGTCAGGTGTAGAATTTCAAGCACTGTCATCGTTTCTTTTGCTGGAAGTAAATAATGTGTTAAAGCAAGTTATGTTGATATGATAATGCTTATACAGGGTGTCCCACATAACACTTACCACGATTTTTCAAGCATTTCCGGTGATCTGATGAAAAAGTGTTTTAAACAAAAGTTGATCAGTTCTCAGTTGCAATAAAAAGAATTTCCAAAAAGCTTTTTTCCAATTAAAAGTCAAGATCACCTTCATTTTTTAAATGACACTGCATACTTTTGACTTCATAGTATCGTAGCTCGTGTCAATACGAGTTCAATCACCTGGTACACTATTGGTAGCCTGGAAATACTCGAAAACTGGATTATTGCTACATGTAAAGAAATTGGGAATACACCAGGAATCTTTGAACGTCTTCGACAGTCTTCGAAACGTCGATACGAAGCAAGTAAACTTTAAACATTATTACAATACTCCATCATAATCGAAAAGTGTCTTTACCTCGGAAAGGAAGACCTTCTTTCATGTTTAGGAACAGTAGAATACGGTACCAAATTTTGACCACCTATTTCCTTGTCACCCTATGTACGAAGGATGATCAGAAACCGAGGTTCCCTCAGTAATAGTTCCTTACATGCCAGGGGAAGTTCAGTCTTCCTATGTGCACACATTCCTTGTTACCCAACAGATCATTGATACGAAATTCGCTGTGTGTTTCGGCTCTTATGGGCTAAACGTGTGTCCCCCGTCGAAATTCGTAAGCCTGGTCTTCTCTCCAGAGGTGTGAATCTTCCTCGAGATAACGCCAGACCTCCTCTGCACATCAAACGCAGGAACTTGTGCAGTCATTTCATTGCAACATTATGGAGCATCCTCTGAGTAGCCCGGATTTGACCCTATCCGGTTATCACCTGTTTGGGCCACTGGAGAAACATCTTGGAGGAAGAAGATGCAGCTAGATTTCCGGATGATGCAGCTGTACAGTATGCTTGTCCGGGAATGGTTTGAAGTGGAGGTCTTACTATCCGAACATCCGAGTACACGAAATATCCATTATAACCCGAACTTTGTGTCGAAATCGGAGTCTGAGTGCTCGAGTATCCGGACTTGTATATGAGTACATATTCGAGTATCCGGAGTTTTTTTGTTAATTACTCAAATATGAGCAGTCTATCTTCTCTACTTCTCCATCGCACGCGTTATTTATTGTGCTTTTGCATCATTCTCACACATGCACACACACGCGACGCGTGCATTTATGAGGCAAAAGGCACAAGGTGCCTATACTTCATATGTATCTAACTTTGTTGTATTCCGTGTACTAATCGTTTATTAAATGAATCGGTACAAATATCACGGAACGAAGACGCGTTGACAAAGTACTAATCAGTAGTTTTACAGAACTGCGTGCGTAATGGTAGCAGAACTAAAATCTAAGGTTTTTGAGGAAGGACCTAATACATATATGTTCGTGTCTTGAGGAGTGGGAGTTAGGGATCGTAAGGATTTGGTATACCAAGGGCAGGGTTCGAGGGTGAGACGGAGTCAGTCAGGAAAGGATGAGGTCACGAGGTCGAATGGTAAGTAGACTGCGGATTTTTATGCAAATTCATATTTTTGGGAATACGTGTAGTAAAAAAAGTAAAACTTGGGTAGAAAATTATTTCACCTTCCAGGTACTATAGAAAGCAGTATAATTTAGATATCTTGTATATTTTTTCATATGACGTGCATTCTGTGCAATTTTGCACCTTCAAGTTTCCTATAAATGCATCAAAACCCGCAGTCTAGTGGTAAGGAAAGGATGAAGTCATTGGATATTGGGTATTTGCAAAATGAGCAAGGAAGGCTGATACTTAAATCTAAAGCGCGATTTGAATTAATAGACAGTGTGGTTATACAACAACTTTATAGGAGACTGTTCGACACTGATATTTAGTATCTTACAGACTCATTGCGAGGGTAATACGCAGTTTGGCAACGGTTAGGGATTTTCGTCAGGTCCCGACTTAACGATTCTTTTTAACGATCGAAGACGATGTCGAGCTGATCCTTAGGAAACTCGTTTTACGACATGTCTTCCGTTATTGAGAATAGAAAAAATAAAATTCTAAGATCGTTGCGAAAGATTAACTTCTTCCGGCGAGAAATTCACAAAATATCGTAACAATAAGCCAACGTACTATCATAAATAGCGTATCTTCGCGACCGTGCCAAACAGAAACGAACATTTTTGTCTACATGTATAACGCTGTAGAGTAATGAGAATTTTATTTAAGATATACAGTACGAAACCCAGTAAACAATTTTATAATAAAATTACAAAATTTGATATATGCAATATTTTAGTAAAAAACCCGACTAGAATTTCAGTTAGGCAGATATTAGGTCCGCATTAGGCTAGCCTAATTTTCCTGTTAGGCCCCAATGGGGCAGCCCCATGTAACGCGGAATATTCGCGACTACCTAATTCGGAAAGCCGCATTAGGCTTTCCCAATGACTATCGAATGAGACCAACCGCATTAGGTCCATATTAGAATAGCTTTATTAGGCTGTCATTGGGAGACATTAATGAAATGTCATGAGGAATACCGTAAAAACTTTTATCTTGTTGAAAGCTCTCTTATGGCGACCTAACCTCTACTGAGATGTCTGCAAATATTCCTACATAAAGGTTGAGAGCCCCACTCCACCTAATTTAGGTGTGCGCTCGGCCATCCCCATTTCAACCACGTATGGCAACTGTTAGGAATGCCCAACCAAGGCGTGCCCTCGGCCACTCCCATTTGGGCCACGTATGGCAACTGTTAGGAATGCTTAACTTAGGCGTGTCCTCGGCCACTCCCATTTGGGCCACGTATGGCAACTGTTAGGAATGCCCAACCTAAGCGTGCGCTCGGCCACTCCCATTTGGGCCACGTATGGCAAGTGTAAGGAATGCCTAACTTAGGCGTGCCCTCGGCCACTCCCATTTGTGCCACGTATGGCAACTGTCAGGAATGTCTAACTTAGGCGTGTCCTCGGCCAACCCCATTTGGGCCACGTATGGCAAGTGTTAGGAATGCTTAACTTAGGCGTGCGCTCGGCCACTCCCATTTGCGCCACGTATGGCAACTCTTAGGAATGCCCAACCTAAGCGTGCGCTGGGCCACTCCCATTTGCGCCACGTATGGCAACTCTTAGGAATGCCCAACCTAAGCGTGCGCTGGGCCACTCCCATTTGCGCCACGTATGGCAACTCTTAGGAATGCCCAACCTAAGCGTGCGCTGGGCCACTCCCATTTGGACCACGTATAGCAAGTGTTAGGAATGCTTAACTTAGGCGTGCGCTCGGCCACTCCCATTTGGGCCACGTATGGTAACTGTTAGAAATGCCTAACTTAGGCATGCATCATTCCTTCCGAATTAGGACCTAATGCGGTAACGATTAGGCTTGCAGCATTTAGGTGTGCCTAATCGTTTCCGCATTAGGTCCACATTCGTCTTTAGGCATGCCTAACTGAAATTCTCGTCGGGAATGTACTTAGAAATGTGACTATTTTAACATCTAACGCATATGAAAGTACTTATTACCCAATAAACCGATTTACTGTTCAAAGCGAAGAAAAAATTATTTTCTAAAAGCAAATAAACGTACGTAAAATAAAATTCAATATACACTGTGGTCCATAATTTTAACACCGCTGTAATTTTTAACGTTTCTAAAGTTTGGAAAATTCCAAAGAAAAATTCGACAATATCAGTTGTATCATTCGAACAAGTATTGCAAATAATAATTTTCAGTTCGCAATCAGTAAGATTGTAGCTTGTTAGGAAGAACAATTTACAACTTGTTAGCGTCCAGGAAATTGCGCGTTGATTCAGCCAGACTCATGAAGTTGTTTGAAATTGTTTGAGTGACACAGTCAGTTGTGCAGAAATAGAAAAAGAGAACCTAGTAAAAAAAGTTGTCCCCTTATGTTGAACGTCAAACTGGACGAATTGTGAGCAATTCGTTACAAAGTTGTAACGAAATTGTAAAGGAAAACGATATGAACGTTTCTCGTTGAACTATCCGTCACGTCCTTAATAGCTTATATTAAGATAGAAACTCGTATCTGCGTGAAGAATTCTAATATACCAGAAAATAAGCAGTTTATAGAAATTGTAACTTAATGCAACGCAATTTGTTACACTGATAATTTGAAAAATGAAAGTTATTTAATCTCGATTAATTTTTCAAACGAAAATAAATTTACTCTCGATGGTCCAGACAATTTTATTTCATATCTACAGAACCTTCGTAAAGATTTTCAATACTTTCAAGAACGAAATTCTCACAGAGTGATTTATAGTTTGAAGTGCATTTTGTCCCACTGGCAACTTTCAATTAAATAGCTTCCCGCCCTTCAGGAATAAGTATCAGGTTGATTGAAAAGTTTGAAACTTTTTTTATCGTCACCTTCAAGTCTATCTTCACAACTTCAAGATTTCCATCAGTCTCAAGTACAAAATATGGATAGATTCGAATTTTCAATTTCTTCGTTTCGTTATAATAAAAAAATTACAATATTCGTAATTTGCTCGCATTTTATGCAAGATATTATGCTTAATTACATTTAATCGAGAAAATTATAAATCTTTAAATTTCATTCAGTTACCATTTGTATTATTAATCGATCTTCGAATGATCAGAATTGATAGGTAATTGAATTGTCAAATTTAAAGGTCCGTACTTTTTAAACAAATTCGAAATAAACTAAATGATGACTTAAACCGCCCCTAATTTCACGTGTGCTACGTTATATTTCATTTGGAACGAAATCCCTGGTGCCGACGTCAAAAAGTGATCGATTTGGCGTGGAACCACCCTACCGCAGGTATAACAATCACTTGCTGCTGACACCGTTATAATAGGTATGCAAATGGTTTGAAGCGCAAATTATGTTGGGTCGCTTCACCGTCATAAGATCTTAAGTAGAAAGAGTATTAATTAATTAAGAGCTGCTTGAAAACTTTTAAACGGCTTATCATCGTTCTCGTTAGTTCTTAAAATTATGGTAGCACTGGAAACGAACTTGACGCGATCAACAATATCTTATTCTATTATACAAGCTGTTTTCGAATGAGCAAACTTTTTATATTCAATTTTGAAGGTCACACCTAATTAAAATATTTTACAGCTTCTGGATCGAGAATTGAAGAAATATTGTTAATAAACGTTTCTAATTTTCGCTGATTTTTGAATTTTTGACTGCAAAGCTATTGATCATAATGACATGACTCTTTTTTTATTTTACAATTGGACCTTATGCGGATCGAGCATTCGTTAATATCTCGTTAATTGTTAGCTTTAGGACAAACAACGTTTAATACTTCTCTACTTGGCAATTAACGAGCTTTCGAACTGCCGTAAAAAAATAGGGCATTTTATTTAAAAAAACAAAGTTGACCTTCAAATCTCCTAAACGCATCCATTTATAAAGAAGTCCATAAAGTACCATATAACCTTTGTAGAAATAATTTTTCGTACAACGTATAATTTCGAAGTTATTCGCGGTGATTAAGCTAGATGCCTCACTCTGTATACAGGGTGTTCTGTAAAGAGTGTAACACCCGGAAATGGGGGGTTGCTGGGGTGACTCTGAACAATTTTTTCCTTGACCAAAATGTTGGTTGAAGCTTCGTTTTTGAATTATTAACGAAAAACACTGACCAATCAGAGCGCGCGTAGAGCCCGCGCCCAGGCACGGGAGCGCAGGGACTAATCCGCGCGCGATCGTGAACAAACGCGTACTCCTGATTTCTCGGTTATCGGTCGCGAAGAAGATTCACATCTCTAGAGAGAAGACCAGGCTTATAAATTTCGAGGGGGGACACATGTTTAACCTATAAAGGTTAAGGGTTAAATGTGACAGAGTAACAAACGATCTATCGCCTTGTATGTCCTCTCTGATACCATGCAACTTTTCTTTGAGATATTTTTTCATACAAGTAGTAATTTGAAGTCGTCGAGTTAGGCGCCTCACCCTGTATACTTCACGGCACACATGAAATAACGGACAGTGGTATGAATAATTATAGGGTCAAAGCAATCGTTATTCGCAAGGGAACATCTCAAAGTGATAATCACCGATTTTGATGAAACTTTGGTATATAGTAGTTTTCAGAGAAATTTTCGACACGTATTTTTTTATGTCAGCAATCGTCTACAGTGAAGGGGTGAAAATCGCCCTCAAACTTGGAGGTAGTAAATATATTTAGTTCAATATCTCGAAAACTATTGACGAATTTTGTATTTTTAAAGTAATAAATAATTTATTCTCCTCATCTCAGTGTAGACGATTGCTGATATAAAAAAAAACGTGTTAAACATTTTTCTGAATACTACCATATCACCAAAGTTTCGTCAATATAGGCGATTATCGCTTCAGGATGTTCCCTTGTAAGTTCTCCAAATAGAAAACTGGGCAATAAAAGGTAATTATTTCTGATAGTTCTTAGAACATACTGTGACCCGGACAAATGCAATTTTCCCGATTCTACATGCCTCGGGGGAATACCAAAGTATTTACCATAAAACTGTTCAATGGATTAAATCTAGGTTCCATGTGTTTAGTTGCCACACTTTAGTTCGTACCGACGAAAGTTTAGTCCGTTTACTTTACGTCCACAGTTTACTTTGTAACAATAAAAGAGGAAGACTCGTAATTGTTTTCATTACATGAATTATAAACAAAGCCAGGAGGCCGGGAACTTTCAAAAATGGAGCTGCAGCGATTTGAATGACACAGTGTGAAAGTTACTCAGATCTCAGAATGTAGCTAGTAATTTTTGAAGGAAATGAAGGGAAAATTATGGATAAAAAAGGCGATCCGGAATCCTGTCAAAATTGTCTCCTATCGTTAAATCGCAAATTTCGCAACGATTTCAGCTAGAATGTGATCCATTTACTAAGAAAGTAAATTCGGAAAGAGGCACAAATATCTTAAAAATTGAAGGAAACCGCCGTTCGGCAAATGTTTGACTTCCGTGGTCAAAAGTATTCCGTGGTCATAAAGTATCAAGTAAATTCCTTGAAATTTCCCTTGAACCTGTAATTATTCACACCGCTGTGTTTGCAGTGCGCTCGTTTATTAAAGAGATTCTCGAAAACAGTTACATGTAGTACATGCAAACACGATTATAAAGTTCTCTATTCAGAAATTTCACGAATTATAAATTAAGCGTATACTCGTTAAAATCCAGGCAGTGTGTAATTTCCGTACTATTCTAATCAAACTCCAGTAAATCCATATTTTCAACTAATCAAAACACCCAAACTTTGTATTCCAGCAATTCCTGTTTTCTGTTTGAATGCAAAATTTTATTTGTATTCCCCGTAAATTTGTTTAATTTATCGTAGAATCTTTAATCTACTCGTAGGAAGAGTAATAGACGCGCAAGACGCTTGTATCGGTAGTTCGGCAATTAAATGCTTCTTTCGAAGCGACCAGTTTAATTGCCGCATTTACAATCGTCGTTAATCGTGAAGAAGTTGCTTGCAGTTCTTTGGAAAGTATAGTTTAGAGACGTTTAAAGAGAAAGCATTTGTAACAGTCGCAAACTAGACGTGAAAGTGATTGAAACGACGATATTATTGTCTATAAAGCAAATGTAAAAATTCAAGTACAACGGCAAGATGGTTAGTTACAGGGTGGTGGCGGTGGTCGCAGGAAATAGCGAAGCGGTTACACTGAGCGGACTCAGGGCTGATACGCAGTATCAGCTGGTCGTCACTGCTGTCAGAGCCGGTAAAAAATTCCGGAGTCGACCGATCGTCTTCCGCACACTTGGTAAGTTACTTTTGTTTCTTAGTAAATTACTTTCTTCTCCAATTACATTTCTTCCTCGTTTTCTTCTTCCTCTTTTCTCGCCCGCGTTTCGTACCGAAGTTCCGGCAAGTTTAGCTGCTTCGTGTCAAAAATTCTTCAACGACGGTGAATATTTCTCGTTGTTACTTGTCATTTTGTAAAAAGAAACGTACCACGTGCTGTTTGCGAAAAATGTTTCCACCTAGCACACTTCTTTGTGGATATTACGACGTTACGTTTGAACTCCTGCAACTTTTTAAAAGTATCGCTTTCTGCGCAATCTAATTTTTGAAATATTTGCGTAACGCACACCACGTACATATCAATCCTTTGCGGTCCGAATAGTCCAGTTAGTCCGCACTTATTTGGTCATTCTCGGACAGTACCATTGTAGTTTCCCTTTATCTCAATATTTCAGCGTAATATTGGTTATAAAATACTAAGTTTCAGTGTAATATTAATGCATAAAAAGATGGTTTATTATCATTTATAATTTGTAATTTATCATTGTACGATATCCGAAGGGAGAAATCCTTACGTCGAGTCTGACTCGAAATTGGACCGCAAAGAGTTAAGAACACGGATTTTTAATTTCCCAATTCACGTTACATGTGTATGTATACATTTACACTCTGTCCAATTTAAGAGTAACCTCGCTCTCGGACCGATTTGCGTCCGTTCTGCGCATAGACAGCGTAGCAGAGGGTAAGACGGAGAAAAACGTAGGCGGTTAAGTGGGGGTTTGGACGTTCTAGCCCCGCCTTAGGCACGTCCCATGCGCGAAGCGAGGTTATTCTTAAATTGGACTGAGTATAGAGCCATGATCTCTAATTACTACAAATGAAATATCAACTGAAAAGTATTAAAGGACGATAAATACTATTAATAATTATAAATGCTGTTATCCAGATCTGTATACCTTGAAATATACTTGAATTTTTCAGAGCCACCGCGAACATCCCCTCAACAAGATGCAACGGTAACTGGCGGCCCACTTCCACCCCCTCCACCTTCTTCTCAACAACCACAACCTGACATACAAGTAAGTTCCAAACACCTATATAAATGAATATATTTGTTATTGTCGATTTAGCTAGCTACTTTCTTTTCTAATCTGCCGATATGTTAGAATCCTTGAAAATCTGTTTCTACAAAAATTAGTCTAGATTAACCCTTTGCACTCGAAGTACTCCCTCAGAACCGGACAATGTTTGACGTTGTACTCGAAGTGAAGCACACCGAAAATAAAGAACATAAAGAAATATCGTCTTTTGAATCTTGCTTGGAATTTTTGCTTTCGAATAAATAATTTGTTATAAAAGTTCGAATTTCTGCAAAATTTACCCGAGAAAAGGTCCGAGTGCAAAGGGTTAAAATTGCTTGTACAATTGTGTCACTTGTGGCCACATGTCCGAAAATGGTCGAACTGCAGTTTAGATTTCACTGAAATCTGGAGGTGTTGATAGAATAACATAATCTTTCGGAGAAAGTACCTAACAAATAGAAAATTGAACTTTGTTAATATAAAGACAAGTATTTATTCATTGTCTAATTTTGACACAGTGTCTGGAATTATTTATGTAGATATTCTTTGCTTCGCTACAATTAATTTTCTTTGATTGTTCCGCCCCGTAAACACCGATACACAGAATGTATTTCTAATTATTATTATTGAGGATTTCTGGTATAGGCCGTGTCCTTATGGAAAGAGTATCCCGTCGTTTTGTAAGCATTGCAGTTCGTAGTAACGACATGTATCTAAAGCATGTGTATTATTTATTCAATAGCCCATGTTCCGGTTCGTTGCTTATCAATCAGCGAAGGTTTCTAATTGGTCAGCTGACCAATAATAATAACTATGCTCCGGACCGTGAAAGCTTTAAATCTTTAATGTGTTTCTAGTTTGTCTCTTTCATCTATTCTGATTCTACAAAATTCGTCGTTCAAGGTGTCGAATATCTGTTTTCTCGAAGGAAAGAATTTCAGTGGGAGACCAAGACTGCCACTGAAAATTAGGGCCTAGGTCAGCGTCCCATGTTAGGCGTATCCTGTAGCCGGATTTATGGCACCGTCTCAAGTGATCACGATCAGAGTAAGCACTTTAACGCGGTTGGATCCGTGAAATTTCACCCTTTAAAGACTTACCGAAGCAAGTTTTTATACCGTTTAGGTGGGGGATTTTTGATATTCCAACAGACACGATTTAAAAGAGACAGTATTGTAGGAACCTAGAGAAAAATTTCGAGGCACCCAACGGGAATCGAACCCGGGACCTTCGGCTCAGCAAGCCAAGGCTTTGCGCACTACGCCAACAACTCCCTCTCTATTCTCCCTTGCCGGTTTCCTATTTGAGCATGGAGGCCCCGATACCACAGTATTTTAATACCAGATTGAGATTTGCCAGTTGTACAGAGACTAAGATAAGGTTCCAATTTCTTTCCTGCATACACAACTTACGTTCTAAAGCTGGAGGAGTTGATACTAAGGGTACAATGATTTAGACTAGTTTCTTGGGATGAGCAATACTCGGGAAAGTTGCAGAAAACGAGGGATGAGTATTTGTTTGAGCAATGCGTGAAAAGTAGTGAAAAACAAGGAGTGGCTATGACTTAAGATTAGGTTGACTGTCACAGCAGGCAACTATTTTTCGTTCGAATAAACAGTAGCTGTTTATTACGTTACCTGCAAACATAATCGCTAGGACCAGAAATCCTGGAGCTTCTAAAGGGCCAAATTCAAAGTGGCACTTAACCTTTAGCTTTGTCGGTAGGCCACTTTACTGTGACAGAGTCTAGGCATCGCGGAGATTCCACAGAAGTCCCCCGCATCCACCCACTGAACACTTTCTCCGGTCATTGTGCATCCCACAAGATAGCGCGTTAAGGATAAAATAGAGGTCTCTATGCACCAAGTAAAACGGATTGGTGATTGAAAACATTATAGAAATCCAGTCAGAGTGTTGAAAACACTTCTCCGTGCCTCCCGGAAGATACTTTTGAACCGTCGCGACGCTTCGTTAGATATTTTCGAGCATCGCTAGAGGTACCATTCGCATTTCGTCCATTACAGTTCCACTTTGCATTTAGAAGAGAGACTCACTCTGTCCTTCGATCTTATAAGTCAGACCAGATTCTCACAGTTCTTCGTACTTAAACTGGTCTTTCGATGAAGACGACCTAATCAACTTATAACGTGTCGTGACATTTGCCTATTTTAATTTAACCCTCGTACGACGGATGCAGGGTCATTTTGACTCGACAGCGATAAAGTCACGCGGCTCAGATTACGTTTCGTACAGGAAATACACCTATTTTATCGTGGAGTTTCTCTATATTCTGTATTTTCACTTCTACCATTCGTTGCGCGGTACGTGAGGTTACGTAGCCAAGAAAGACGGTTGTGTCCCGAGCTGCCGCGCGTCGCTTGCTTTATACTCGCGTTTACGTTTTTTCATTCGGGGCAATGGCCCGGGCCGATGCGTTGGCCTATTGTCCCGTCAGCTGAATCCTGTTTTGTTTACACCGCTGTAACGTCTAATTTTCGGTTCAACGGCCGCCATATTATACGTCCAATGTAAATAACCAAGAAAAATATAAAGTATAGTTGAAAGTATACACATTTATACCCAATTCCTTCCTGAAACCCGTGTACGATAGAAATTTTTCTGTGGGTCAAAATGACCCTGCGTTCGTCTCCCGCGTCCGTCTAAAACCATTCGCTTTCCGAAGGTAAAACGAGAATTAAACATGAATAGTAATTCGTAAAATTCATCACATTGGTAATTTCCATGTCGTACAATAGGTAGCTGCGTAATAGTTGATTTAGTTACTCGAATAAATATGTTTTTGTGAGAAAGTACCAAGGTGCAGTTCGGTGTTTGGTTGTTATGCATTTTCCATGCCGCGTGAAAGCATCGCTCGTTACGTATGATTACGTATACGATTCACTACACTCGTCGAAACTGCTAGGATAAAAGCATCGATGCAGTTACTGCATATCCGTGCAGTTTGAGATCAAGTATACTGCCGGCTTTATTGACGTGTAAAACAGAATACGGAACACGTATTTGCTCCATTGCTACGTTATCATTTCGTGCTGTGTGTTACAACCGATAGAGCTATCTAAGCTTGGTCCTTATCTATGTACGTAAATGTACGTATATAAACGTCAACAACCTATTTAAAATTTCACTAATGGTACATGCGGAATTACCTGATAGGTTCCACTGATCTTTATTTCACTTTGTATGAAATGCACATACGCTTCTGTTGATAAGTATTATGTGAATTCTACTGAAATCTGCTAAAATCTGCTGTATTCCACTAATTGAAATCTTTCGAAATCTACGAAAATTGATTAAAATCTAAAATTAATAGGGTAGAAGAATTTTAACGAAGGAATATTTTACTATGTCGATCTCTTGGAATGCTTTGGTTTATATTTTTATACTTGGTTACAAGGTTCACACGTGCTGTATAGATTGACTGTATTCGTTGTTATGTCCTGAAAATTCTATTCGAGCTCCGAACGGAGGACTTTATTGGTTTTGTGTGGGTGGAGTTATTTTTGGTTTCTTTAAAATCAATCTCTGATTGAATGCCACTACGGG